ATTGCTCCTTGGAGGTAAAGATTGTGAAATTCCATCTCATACACTTAGGGTGTGTTGGCAGGAGGGACCAGTCCTTGGAGAAGGACATCATGCTTGGAAATGTAGAGGGTCAGTGCAGGAGAGAAAAATCCTGGATGAGATGGATTGACACAGTGACTGTAGCAATGAGGTCAGCTATGTCAGAGACAGTGGCTCAAGATAGGGCAGGTTTCAGACTACTGTTCACAAGGTCGTTATGAATCTTAGTTGACTTGATGGCACATAACAACAATTTCCATGAGTGAAACAGTTGGTTCATTGCGTTCATAACTGACCCTCCATTGAGTTTCTAAACTGGTAAGTTCCATTAGAAGAGATTGCTTGTGTTTCTCTCTCAGAGCTGCTAGTGGACATTCTGTGGAGTCCATTTTTACCAAGCCTTCAATGGGACAAGGGCTGGAATGACAAATCACCCAGAGGAGAGAAAGTACCAACATGCATCCAAAACACTGAGGAAATCATCATAAGGTCCTGCCTGATCCGTGGCAAGTCAACCCATCACTGTTAGGGGTGGAACTGCCCAAGTAAAGAAAGAAAGATGATTGGGATGGTACACAATTGCAGGCTAAAAAAAAGGTTGTAAGTTAGTTCTGGAATTTTTAGGTGACTGGAATATAACTTATAACCATGTGATTATTACTTAACAGTCACTGGGACTCCAACTTTGAAATTATATGCAGTTACTTTCAGCTCTGTTGATTTAGTGAGCAAAGAATTGTGCTGCCAATTCAGAGGTGTGGACACCTCTCTGGTGGTTCGAATCCCCCTGTGGCTCTGCAGGAAAAAAATGGCAAGTCTTCCTTCAAGTAGTTTACAGTTGAAAACTTGCTGGGGGGTCACTGATGAATCATTTCCAACACAAGGGCAATGACTTGAGTATTTTCAGTAAATCACTATATGAGGGTTTTAAATCAGAAGCACCTGATGTTTGTAAATAAATAGATTAGTCTGAGCGCAGAGTCTTAACTTCATTTAAAAGTCTTGACATGAGTCTAGAGCCTGTGTTGGATGTTTAAAATCTGCCATGTAGAACAGCAGCCTCTCTAACCTTGATGCTAATGTGATCATAAAGAAGAATAGTTCTTTTTCCTGAGCTGGTGCAAGATATAACAATCTATTCCCAAAGAGCCTTTCCACTGGAGGCCAGTGCCAGATGAGAGAGCTTATGCCTAAACGGTCCGAAGTACGGCATTATGGGAAGCAGGCCTGATGAGGAAGTAATTTTACCAACAGGTTCCCAGAAAAACCTGTTCTGCCACCATCTTGGGACCATTCAGTAACAAATCAAATGATGTGGACCTGTAACCAATTATCTAATCCCAGTTATGGGTTTACCTACCTGTTGTTGTTTGATGCCATGTTGTTGGAACCCATATGCAACAGAACAAAGCACCTAGTCTAACACATCCTCACAGTTATGTTTGAGTCTATTGTTTAAGTCACTGTGTCAATTCATCCCGTCAAGAGTCTATTTTTCTGAAGACCATCCTTGCTCCTAAGGAGCATTCTGGTCACTCTGTCCAAGAAAGGTTTGAGGGTTTTCTTTTGGCAGTTCACGGTACATTTGGTATTTCTCATTAACATGATCATTCAAATGCATCAATTCATCTTTGGTCTTCCTTATTCATTGGCCTCCTTTCAGATACATATGTTGTTGTTGTTATGTGCCGTCGAGTCATTTGCGACTCATAGCGACCCTATGTACAACAGCCCTAAACCGTGCTCTATCCTGTGCCAATCTCATTGCCTCTGACACACCCATCCC